CACATCACGTCACGTCACGTCACTCCACCCGCGTCGCATTATATTGTATCACTATCACGTCATACCGGGCCTCATACAAGCAGGTCTCATGATGGATGATTGGTAATAGAACTATAACAGTATGCATATTTAATTACCGGTACATACACGTAAATAATATAGCGCGCGTATAATTGTGACTTCAATGCATAAATACTATTTTCTACGCGACCAAAACAACTTGTTTCTATTCATAGCAAAAATTCCCAAAGAAAACCTTATTAAAGCGGGGGAGTTGTCACCCGCGCATGCGTCAGATGGCCATAGCGTGTCATTGTTTACAAACAAGCGTCTACCCAAGAGCCTTTGCGTTTTTAGCGTATGTTGTTATCGTCGCTTGGGACTCAATTCCCGCGCGTGCGCAAGTGACGACACTTCCACTTTAATATTTCGGCTGTAATATATTTGTACATAGCCTGCACTGTATGTAGTACCTACCTGTTGATGTAAATGCGAAGTATCGGCGACTGCGCCGTGCTTCATAGAAAACATCATACTGAAACCTGAGTTTAGAAGTTGTGGCGCCAGAGCGCTTTTTATGATATGTAACTGCCACGATTCTCCAGATGTGTCACTGTTGGTTTAAAAGTAAACAAATAAACTAACTAACAAACAAACATCCCAGTAACTATGTAACTAACTAAGTAAATCAGTCAGATATTCAGTTAATAAATATGATATATCTACACCAGCTGCATATATTTTTACAATGAAGTAAAACCTTTATATCCCAAATGTATCAATCAATCAATCTAATAATCAAATATTGACCAATCATGTTCAATCAATTATCATCAACCATTTTTTTTTATTGATCCATATATTGTTTTTTACGTGATCCAATATTAGAAACTGAAGAATATACAAATTAGTTAACAGTGGGGGGGGATTTTATCTTCGGATCACTCATTTAATCCCGATAATTAGAATACTTACCTTGTGGGTTTCGACAATATTGCTTGATATTGTTGCGTTCCACTCATAGAAAACATATTATCCCTCTTGTGAGCTCCCGTTATGGGGGTAAACTGTCGAAGAACGAATCCATCGGAATACGGCGCGGCTATAAGCGGGAAGTATGCATCGACGTCGGTCGTAGTCGTGGTTCCGTTAATTCCGAGTAAGTTTGCTGTGGAAAAATGAAAAAAAAAAAAAACACTCAGAAGAAAATGCTGTTCTGGAAACAAGGAACTCGCCACCTGTAGAATACATCACATAATTACTATTCAAAACTTCATTACTAGTAATATAAGGGCTGAAAAGAGAAACGGTGAATGAAAATTCAAAAATTAATTATGTTTTTATTTTATCTGGTATGGGACTGTAATTTCAATACCATTTTTATTTGTTGCCATTTACAACAATCTAGTCCCTGTTTGATTTGTATCACATATTCGATTGAATTGTGACAATACAATAATTAAATATTAAAAAAAAAATATTTAGTGAAGTATGTGCCAGAGTGTCACAAGGGTAACTAGTTACTTTGGTTAAAGGTAAACTCCAATTCACATGTAGTCAAGAATCACGCTGTTATAACCACACGCTTATTTATAATGTAACAATGTAACAAGAAAACGTGTTTTTTTATAGAACGAACGTCAATTTTTTAGCGTCTTAAGGTAGCAAATATGATAGTAATTTATTTAAGAAGTTGGCAGCCGATTCACCATAGCAACAACATATCGAACCAGTATGATATATGCCACAAAGCGATCACAATCATGATCAATAATTTATAGCGTATGGTAATTAGAATGATTATAATGGTCTGTATTTGGTTCATTGTCAATACCAGGTCAATACAATGTTAATGTCACAAACAATACTAACGACTATTAGTGCGAGAGACCGTAGTTTGGGTAAGGTGACCCTTTTATGCCCGTCATTTTGATTTAGTTCCTGTCGCAGAAGTTCTCTCAGAATGCGTCATCAGATCACTACCTGATAAAATTGCGTGTCTATAAACCCGAATTTTGTATATCAAGGACAACTTCGATTGAAATACCTTTGGGATCGATCATTTGAAATAACTGGGGTTGTCGAAAGAGTTGTTTAAAACAAAAATTGAAGGCTAGACACAGAGAGAGGAACAAACATTCCATGAAATGTGTTGTACGGAAAAGATATTGAAACGTTAAAAAAAGAAGAAAAAAAAATGTAAAGAGCAGACGACGAGAAAAAATTGTGCAACATACGGACACACTCTTCCAGCACCCCCCCCCCCCATGATTTCGAATGTTTGACCTGCCTTACGTGTCATGTGATCAAATCTATGGCGTCTTTAAAAACAAACAGCAATGACGGTGAGGGTGATTGTGGAGTTCAATTGAAGGGCTCTTTTGTGCCTGGTCTACGCTAAATGCCTGAATGAGAATATAATATGGGGTGGTATTATTTGGCTCGTATTTTGTGAACATGGAGGGGTGTGTAAGTTGTCGCTATTAAGTATTATTCAGCGTAACATGTGTGCACACCGTGCGCTTACACGGTGAACATGCTATACTGTCTACCTCCATGTTACCACCAAACAGTTGTCATATCAGCTAGCCACACGGAGACAATCATGGAAAAAGACAATAAAACGCAAGTCACATACTTTCAGTTTTCATTTTAACAGGCACTTCGATCAAGCACACGTTGAGTAACGGTCCCGTGTACGGTACTGCGTCTTCGGGAATCCCCGACTGTTTTGCCGCAGCCGCCTGCTTAGGTGCTCCTTGGCTAGAACTCGATCCACACCCCATGGTCCGGTTGACAGCAAAACTGAACGCCAATAGGCAGAAATTTGGGTCAGTAGTTGTACTCTCTCCACCTGCGGCAGCAAAGTTACGTCAATGAATGTACGATGCCAGGAGTCGTCAATGACAATATGACTCAACTGGCAGTGTCAAAGCGAACGCAGTGTCAGTATTTGTGAATGAGCAAATTACCATGAGAATACATTTTCTCAAGTGGCACACATTCAGGGTGTGTGTTCTATACTTAGTGGCAATGCGTTAGATATTTTGTACTTGTTCAGCATATATTATCACGTGATCTCTTGTCGTTAAATCTACAAGGTCAAGCATTCCCATGATAGTAGTTGCAACTATTTATAATAATGATATTACAGTATTATTGTGTCAATTCTCGTTTAGTTGTGTCTGTCGTGAATTATCATCCATGTGTTGATGTCAGAGTTGCGCAAAAGGTTGTTTACAAAGATTGTTGTACAGCAAAACTATATTACGCACACAGTCAGCTGGCGCACACGTGATAATAAAATAAATACGATATT